GTTGTAAATTACGGGCAGCGCGTTTTTCAGTGTCAATGGGAATTTTAAAATATTCTATCTCCAATTCTATTGCTCGTTTTGTAACAGGAAATTCTTTAAATTCTTTAGATTCAAATATTTCATCGCCCCAAAGGATTTCACCAGTACGGTAATATTCTAGAATGAAATAAAAGGCATGACCATTTCGATCGATAAAATACTCGTTACTACCAGGCTTAACTGGTTTAAGTGCTTCGGGGTTTTTAGGATTTAATAATTTTCCTAGTGTTGTTTCCGGATGAGCAATTAATGAACTACGAGTGGTTTCAAACTATAATAACATTAAATTAATTTTTATTTAAAATGTTAATATAATTTTAAAAGAATATTGGAGCCTACCTTAACCCCACCGACATTTAGGATTATTATTTCATCGTCCATTTCGTCTTTTATGACCGTATTTTTAACGTGCTCCAGCAATTCGTCCATGCTTATATCTATGATTAAAAGGTTCCTCTATATATTATTTATTCACTTTGATGAGATTTGATAAAAACATTTGTTTACCGTTAATATACGTAGAATAAGAAGTGTAACAGCCACACGCATAAAGACAAAGCAAAAGTCTTGTTCGATTGTTAATAGCTGCCTACCTTGTTTGATGCATTAAGTGTACGTTGGTTGTGCATCGATTGTAACACGGGTTTGCATAAGGAAAGCATCTTCCTGCGTTACAAATACAAATTAAACTTTACAGAAACTGCCAATTTAGCAATTTTAAAATAATTATATTGTTACTTTATAGTAGCTATAGTTGCTAAAATATAACTTTAAAACTACATATAGTTACTTTATAGTTACTTTAATGTAGTTCCAAAGCTGCTAATTGGCGGTTTCTGTAAAAAAAAACTCCAATTATTTAATACTGTATAATTAGAAATTTTCTATGAAAAATCGAAAAAGACCTCTGCTCAATTGACCAAAAAGAAAAAATGCAACTCATATTTCTCGAAAGCTTACCATTCGAACTGTATTCATTCATGAAATAATTCAAGTAAATTAAAATAATATATATATGTATTCATAATTAGATCCATCAAATTTGTACATGTAGACAATCGAATTCGTACATGTATCCAATCAAATTTGTACGCTTGGACGAACTTTTAACAATTAAATTAGTATGTTTGGACAACCAAATTCGTATATTTGAGCGATCAAATTCTTTATAGCCAACCAAATTCATACGTTTGGATAATCAAATTCGCACTACGTACATCTAGCTTAATCAAATTTGATATATTAGGACATCAAATTTCGTACATTTGGAATAACATGAGTACGTACGTACATCAAATTCAAATTTAGATATCAGGAGTAACATTTGTAAAGTGACTTTTAAAAAATTTAAAAAATCGCCAGTAGCCCTAAATTTTAACTATGAAACCGGTTCCTGCGCACTAATTAAAAATACAAACATCATTAATACCAACCTTAACCCTAATTTAACGTGTTTCGAAATTAGATTACATGTACTATGTAATTTGCTGAATTTTAGTGATCCAATAACCTACTTGTCGACTTGTACAAACGCTTGTACGAACCTGGTATACGAACCTGTAATTAAAAAATAAAACGATTTCCCCTAACTCGTTATTAATTTCCAAGACTAATTAGGTGTGCGTTATATATATATATATTACAAGTTCTGAAATTGTGTAAAGGCAATATTTTATTAACTAAATACTGTGAACAATGATTTGCGCGGTCTGCAAATTGGAATTCTTTACCATTTATGTAACCTTGTTTATTGATATTATTTTAGCACCCTTATACGGTACGATTAACTGATACCGATACTATTGACCATTTATATCGAAAAAAAATCACTAAAAAAAAAAAAGTTCACTGTATCACAAACTTGAAACATTTTATAGAATATTCTCTGCTCTTGCCTTGCAGTGCAGAGCTGAGCTATTTGGAGAAAATGCGAAAGTTACGAATACGCAAAATTCTTTGTTTATGTGTGAAAATCGAGTGTCATAAATATACTATCGCTGTAGTTTTCATTATTTTTTCTTTTAATTATTTAATTTCGGACTCTAGATGAATTGATAAAAGATGATTCGCCAAGCCAACCATTTACTGTCAAAATTTTTTAACGCTCTTATACGCGGCGATCTCAAGTTTGTGAAATACATTTGCACTTACCGCTTAGATTAGATTAAAATCGACTATAACTATTTTACAGCTGATTTGAAAATTATGATGATCATCCAAATTTCGATAATTATTTTTTGGTAATACGTAACAGTATAGGTTTTCGATAATATAATTTTCGGCTGATATATGTTTTGTTCCGGTCGAAAATTATATTATCGAAAACTATACTTTTATTACCGAAAAACAAGTAGCGAGATTTGCTGACGATCATCACAAAATTCATCACGTGTCCCACTAATTTTCAAATCAGCTGTAACATAAGGAAAACAAAACTGACCTCAAACTTCAAATATTATCAACCGGTTTTAATCGGTTTTAGTGTATGAAACAAGCGTAATTGGCAAAATGTAAACATTTCAAAACTATATTACAGCTGTTTTCATAAATTCTGGGCACCCTAAAAAAATTTGCCGAGATCTATTCTGATTTCGGTATGATTAGATGTATGATCAGTATATAAAAAGAATTTTTGTGTTATTACAGTACATTATTCGATTACTGTAATATTCGCAATATCAGCTTTTTCAATGCCTTTATTAAGGGTAGAGTATACATAGATCATTTATCATATGATATGCATGGCAATTTTTTTGTGTAACAGATTACATAGTAAGCACAAATCTAATTGGGTAATTACCTGTTTTAGAAATATTTTTACTATGTTTTTTGTGTAACCCTGGGAAATGTGAGAAATCACTGAAAACTTTACAACATATATATATCTATTTTTTAAAAATAATATAACCCCCAAATGTTTTACTACTATAAATAGAAGGTTTGATTTGTATATTACAAAATTTTGGTAAAATTTAGCTGTAGTTTTGAGAATTTTTACTAGCAATGTATTTTAATATATGCATAAAATCCTGTTGTATCACTGAGATCATATGATAAATGATTGATGTATACTTTACCCTTAAGTTTTCACCTCAATACATGTCCACTATGTATGGCATGCTTAGTTTGTACAAAAATTTATAGCAAAGACTGTTTTGCCAATAAATAGACCTTCACTGGAAACATAAAAAAAGCACTGAACATAAGTTGAAGTTTCTTAATAAACATATTACACGAGTAGGTGTAGCAAAAAAAAAGTTAAATATGATCAAAAGTTTGTCAACTAGTTCGAAAAATATGTAACAAAAGTTGAAATAAGAGGGCAAGATTTTATTAATATTTGCAGAAATGTGTTAACAATTATAATCAAGCTTGAGGTAAAATTTTTGTATATTTATATTGTAATAATTTTTATTTAAAAAAAATCATATTAAATATTTTAATTTTATTACAGGCTAAAAAGAAACCAATGTAAATAGATGGAAGTATTAAAACAATAGATTTGACAAGCAAAGAACTATACATTTATCAAGCAAGAAACTATTATATTCATCAAGTGAGGAACCATTATGTTCAACAACCAAGGAACCATCTCTGTCAATTTTATTTCTTTCTTTTGCAAGTTTTGAAATTTGTATATAGTTAAAATAGTAATATATACCAATAAATAAATTATATACTAAATTAAATACAATATATATATAAAATCTTACTTGTATGTTCATATATCCAAGTCGATGAACTGCTCTTCAAATTGTTGCAAGACTAATTTTGTGTTCTAACCAGAGTTCCATTTCTAATTATAACTCATATAAATACCAATCCAATCTTTCTTTCATTAAAGTTTTGAGATATTTTATGTTCAATAAACAAGTTCTACCTAAAAGTGACAGTAATTCTTCAACACAGCCATACTTTTGAAGTTTGAGAACTCAACTCACAAAAGACCTGCTAACACCTAAGTGCTTAGCAATTACTTGAACTGACAAGCCTTCTAAGTTCTTTTCAACTATTTTCCAATGGATGTGTTTTGTAAATATCATTTGCGAATTAAAAATTTTAGCGTTAGCATTACATTAGATATGATTTGTAATGTTACATATGTATTACTGTATTTATATATGTTGTGTAACACCGAAATGAATAGCTTATCGAATTCAGCCAAATAGATCTCGGCAAATTTTTTTAGGGTGTCCCAGAATTTATGAAAACAGCTGTAATAGCTCAGGTTTTTGCATATTAAATATCATAGAAACTTTGAGAAAATCTTCCATTTTGCGATATTGACAAAATATTCTAGATCTAGTTAACATGAGTGTCGTTAAAAAAACACCAAAAATTTAAATATAAGTCATATTTAAAATTACGGGTTTTCTTTTAGCGACACTCAAATACTGTATTCCTCCGAAAATAAGTGCTCTTTTTTTGTACCTAATACTGGCCGTGATCGTTGTAAAGCGGGCTAAAGTTGGCATAGTGTGGGCCAAGGGTGCTTATTTCGAGGAGTACTTATTTTCAGAGGAATACGTTAATAATAATATAGGCCATTAAGAGGAAATTTCTATAATAAATTGCAAATTTAGTTCTTGCTAGCATTATTAACGAGGTTTTAACAAGATCTTGACGAAGGAAGAAAAATTACTGATTTTTCGCATTTTGTTAAAAAACCTCGTTAATAATGCTAGTAAGAAACTAAATTTGTGATCTATGAAATTTATTCTTAACGACCAATAGTATTGATAATTTACACATGGTATAGGCTATTTTGTCGTTATGCTGCAGCAAAAATATAAGATTCCTGTTTCAGTTTATCTGAAAGTATTTAGCATTGATTTTTATAAAGCGAAGATTAAAAGATCTTGAAGTTCAGGATACCAAACCGATCAATAAAGTAGCATTTTGGGTTCTTAATATAAGTTTTTACCGGCAATTTAATTTTTTGTTTTAAATTTATTTGAAATATTCATTAAGCAATCGGATGCTTTCAGAATTAGCTATAAGCCACATAATTTCATGCTTGTGTTTTTTTTTTTTTGGTAATTACACAATGGTATGTTTTTGATTGATACAATTCACGTATGAACGTGAAATTTTGTTAACTATCCCAGTAACACCATTAAAATTTTACTGAACTAAATTAAATTATTTGTTCGTTTACATCTCACAAAAATAATGAATAAACGCAATTTATAAAGTAATAAATGTAATATAAAACATTATTAAAGTTTTAGCTAGTGCGCAGGTGGTTTCATAGAAGAATTTTTGAGCCGCTGGCGATCTTTTAATGAACGCATAATTTTGCATTACACTTGTCAATCTAAGAATTCTTCGCAACAATCATTCGTATTGAGGTCAGTGATACTGTCCTATTATTAATCAGACTAGTTTTAGTCCAAGAACTATACTGATTTAAATCAATCAATTACTGT